AACCGCCTGACCCTTTTCCTTTTGCATATATATTTTTTTTATGATCATTTTATTTTTTCCATAGCTTGACATTTTTTACCAATATTATATTTTTTTTACTTGTTTTAAATTAGGTATTACATAGTAAGAGTTGTAAAGAGTGTTTATCTTCCAAGTTGCGATTCATCTTATGTTGTATAAAATCAATCCGTTTTATAGGGCAAATTTTAACCCCTCACATTCATGGAATTAAATCCAATTTATACACAAGTTACACTATACATTAAGGATTTTTTAATTTTGTTAAAACTGAAAATTAAAGGGTTGAAAGATTAACAGGGGTGTTCTCAACTAAAATTTTAATAAATTTTAAATGATTATGAATTCTAATGAATTTGGTGGATTTAAATGGATTCTTACAAATTTCATAAGAATCTCATCAAATATGGTGAAATTTCAAAAGATTTACTTATATCTATTTTTAAGTTTGAAATCCATCCAAATATTTTAAAATCCTTTTATTAATAAAATCTTTATAAATTCACTAATTATTGAAGATACCTAAATTTTAAAGGATTTCATTAAAATTTCAATTGGGGACACCTAAATTTTAATGAATTTAATTAAAATCCAACAAAATCTCAATTAAAGATACCTTAATTTATAATGATTTTTAAAATTCACTACAATCTCAATTGAGGACATCCCCTAAAACTTATTATTATTTTTATTTTACCACAAATTATTGAAACCTACCGTCCTTGGAGGACTTGAGTTTTGCTCGAGCATCATTGAAGTGCCCGTAATGCGTATGATTCTACTTGAGCAGTATTCTGGGTGAGAAAGCTCTGACTTCCGTTATTTCAGGAAAATAAAAAATAAAAAATCTTTATGAATGTGAAGAATTTTAATTATGGACCCCGCAGTACCAAAAGTCTCACACGTGTTTTGACTAAATTTAAAATATGAATTTTAATTCTTATCAGATAGGTGCTTAGACAAATCCCAGAAGCTTCAAATTCAGCGGCATTTAATTTTCTGATAGAGGGTATTGACGGCCATCTACTGTGAACTATTTATGGACTCACATAATTTATTTATAGATCTGAAGGAGATTGGGTGGGTGGCGTATGTTATAAACCTATACTTAAACTGGGATAATACCTTCATTACAGCATCTACCAACCCTGCTCGTGAGCAAACATTATTGTATTAATCTGTTCCATGATCCCATCCCTGTTGCAGTATAAATGATCAAGAATTTGAAAATCCACTCGAATCTTGTTAGTAATCCCACCATGCTGAAAACCCTGAAATTTACAGCCTTTTGTTTCTTGATTTTCATTTTTCCATCCTTCTTAGCAGTTCAAATCAATATCAGTGATTATGCAGCTTTAATGGCTTTCAAATCCAAACTTTTAGTAGAACCTGATAATATTTTATCCACAAACTGGAGTTCAAGAACTCATTTCTGCAATTGGTTTGGTATCACATGCTTGAATGAAAGAATCACAGGTTTGCAGCTTCCAGGATTGGCTCTGCAGGGAACAATTTCTTCGTGTGTTGCCAATATGACTCAACTTGTTGCATTAGATCTCAGTAATAACAAGTTGGAAGGTGTGTTGCCAAGTGAATTGGGACTCTTGCAGCAAGTGAAAATTCTTAACACAACAAAAAATTCTCTCCAGGGCAGCATTCCAGCTAATTTGAGCCGGTGTCAGAATCTTGAACGGCTGGATTTCTCGTATAATTTCGTAGCTGGAAGCATACCGGTGGAGCTTGGCCTTTTAAGAAATCTTGAATACTTGGCCCTTGATCACAACAATCTTACAGGCAGCATTCCGTCATCACTAGGCAACTTTTCGAAGCTGGAGTACTTGTATCTGGAAGAAAATGACTTGGAAGGTGATATACCTGGAGAACTCGGAAATCTTGATAGTCTGAAACTACTTGCTCTTCGGGGTAACAGCTTTGTTGGTTCAATACCTCCTCCGATCTTTAACATCTTAAAGTTACAAATAGTTGACATTTCTGTGATCGGGCTTTCTGGGGAACTCCCGGAGGATTTAGGAGATCGGGTTCCAAATTTGGAGAGGCTTTTCCTGGACAGCAACAGGATTACTGGTAAAATACCAGTGTCTTTGTCTAATTCTTCTAAACTTACTCACCTGTTTTTCACTGAGAATGACCTAAGAGGAGATATACCGAATGAATTTGGCGGGCTTCTCAACTTGCAGTGGTTCGAATTCGAATACAATCAAATATCAGGTAACGTCCCATATAGTCTCTTCAATATTTCATCACTTGAAATTCTGAAAACCAGACATAATTACCTCAGTGGGAATCTTCCTCCTGATATTGGCAAATGGCTTCCTAATCTTCAAGAAATTTTCTTGTCACACAATCAGTTCCATGGAGAAATACCCTCTTCAATATGCAATGCCACAAAGCTTGTCTCTCTGGAGGTTGCAAACAATAGCTTCAGCGGGCAAATTCCTCAGATGCTAGGAAACCTGGTAGACCTCGAGCATCTAAACCTACAAGTCAATTCATTAGTGAACAATCCCGGATCCACTTATCTTGACTTTTTGGATTCGTTGGTCAAGTGTAGGAACCTGCAATACTTGATCCTCGAAACTAATCCTTTAAACGGTATTATACCAGGCTCTATAGGTAATCTATCGAGCACTCTCAAAGTCTTTACAGTCATATCCTGTGAAATTAAGGGTAGCATTCCACATGAACTCGGAAACTTGAGTAGTTTGTTTTTCTTGGGGTTATCCAACAATGGTCTAGTAGGGGAAATACCATCGTCGCTTGGTGGACTGCAAAACTTGGAAAGACTGTATCTGACTGGTAACAAGTTGAAAGGAACCATTCCTGCTGAAGTCTGTAACATAAAAGTTTTAGGGATATTGCATTTGGGAGAGAACAAATTTTCAGGATCAATTCCGACTTATATTGAAAATCTAACAGAATTGAGAGAGGTGTCTTTCGCTGATAACAATTTTTCCTCTACTGTACCTATAGGGTTGTGGAAATTGGTGAAGATTGGAGGTCTGAACTTGTCAAAAAATCTTCTAGATGGTTCCATTCCTACAGAGGTGGGAAACTTAAAAGCACTCAACATCATAGACCTCTCTTCTAACAATTTCTCGGGTGAAATTCCCAACTCTATAGGGTTCCTTCAGATGCTACTCTCACTTGATATGTCTAAAAATAATTTCCGAGGTTTCATTCCGGATACTTTGAGCAATCTAATAGTTCTTGAATTCTTAGATCTATCTTCAAATGCTCTCTCAGGTAATATTCCTGAATCCCTCGAGTCACTAAAAGATCTCAAGTTTCTCAATATTTCTTTCAATAGGTTAGAAGGAAATATTCCAGACAAAGGAGTATTCAAAAATATCACTTACCAATCTTTGATGGGAAACACAAACCTCTGTGGAGGTCCCAGCTTAAAATTTCCTTCGTGTCCAGCTCACTCTGGAAGAAGCTCAAGAAAGAGAAGATTGTCCCTTGTCCTTACAATAACTGTCCCCATTGTTGCAGTAGTTTTGCTTCTTGTAATATGCCTCCTGGTGTGGATCAGTTTCTTGAGAAAAAAACACTCGAAGAATTCTACTCGAACAGATTCTCCCTGGATGGGACATCGGATCATCACCTATAATGAACTTTTACGGGCAACTGAAAACTTCAGCGAGTCTAACGTTCTGGGAAGTGGTAGTTCTTGCATGGTTTATAAAGGTGAACTTTCTGATGGTACTATAGCAGCAATCAAGGTTTTCAATCTACATTTTGCAAAGGCTCTTAAAAACTTTGACACAGAATGTGAAGTTCTGAGTAATGTGAGACACAGAAATTTAGTCAAAATCATCTCCACTTGCTCAAATGTGGACTTCAAAGCCATGGTACTAGAATACATGTCAAATGGGAGCTTAGATAAGTGGTTGTACTCCCAAAACAATTACTCAAACCCAGTCGAAAGACTGGATATTCTGATTGATGTAGCACTTGCCATGGAGTATCTACATCATGAGTACATGGTGCCAATTGTGCATTGTGATCTAAAACCAAGCAATGTGCTTCTCGACGAGGATATGACAGCTCGTGTATCAGATTTTGGAATCGCAAAAATTTTGACCCCAAACCAGCTCGCACAAACCGAGACTTTAGGAACTATGGGATATATAGCTCCAGGTATGCAAATCAACCATTGAAACTCCTTGCTTCTCCTTTAATAAAATAAGAAATCTATTTTTTTGAAAATGTCTTATGAGAGTTTATTGTGCAGAATATGGTTTAGATGGGCATTTATCTCCCAGGGTTGATGTTTATAGTTTTGGGATTTTGCTCCTCGAGATATTCACAAAGAAGAGGCCAACAGACGATATGTTTACAGGAGACTTGAACTTGCATCAATGGATAAATAGATCATTTCCAAGCGCACTGGCAGAGATTTTGGATTCAAATCTCTTTATCGATATTGATTTCATAAAAGAAGGGGCAAGTGCCCCAATAATAAAGAATCAAAACCAGATTGAAGAGTTGCTCGTGCCAACCATTCATGTTGGCTTGCTATGCTCCAAAGAATCGCCAGACGAGAGACCCGACATGAGAGACGTTGTTGTAAAGCTGAAGAAAATCAGAACTGCATTGACGCACAGGAAATAGTCCAACAGAGCAAAATCAGATACATAATTACAATATATTAACTATTAAAACTGTTACATTTCCATGCTCTTCACATCTGATTCTGATCTATATCACAGTGAAATGATCATCCAAATAATTTCCACGTGCTAGATGCTGATGGAATGTTTGGTACAAAGCATTGGATAGCACTAAGACATTATTAGAGAGAAGAAAGAGCTAAAATATCATGGAATCCTATCTAGTATTGTGTGCTTCAATGAATTTTTATTTGAAGGAAATATGTATGATTAACTTTTCCATTTATCTTGAGGTGTAGAACTCAATAGTGTACCAACATCTCTGAAAAATAGATCACCAAAAAAACGAAAGAAAAAAAGAAAGATTGCATATCCCACTACTGAGAATTGATTCGGTAACTAACTAAATATTCATAAACTAGTTATAGTAGATGAAAAATCTCAACTCTTGACAATTACATGAAAATTTCATCTCCACATCGAAATCAATGTAAACTGTTTCTTCATCACTGAATCCCCTCTGTTATATCTGTATGGTTGGTTAGAGCTTTGGTGATGAAATGACTAACAATTCCAATGGGACAAAATAGCAGACAGAGAGAAACTGAATGCCGGGTCTCTACATTGTTCTCAAGTCCATCATAATAAACCTGTCTGGTTGAATAGAAAGAGGCAAGCGTTAAAGATTCTTCAAACAAAACCCCAAGCACCCCATCCCCCTCAGAAAAATGTGCGTCTATGAGTGCAATATTTAGAGAGAGAGAGAGACCTTGCAGCGAAAAGATCTACAGCCAGTAAGTGAATCCATGCAGAAGCCAATGTCATCTCACTGGAGAACATCTTAGCTATACCAGGCAGCTGAAAAATCATACGTGAAATAAGCAAAATTTTATGGTCCCAAACTATCCTTTTAACAGAATTCTTGCCTACGATTACGCACCTCTGGCAGCCAGTATTTACTCGCAAACATCAGCTGAATCGTATCAGGTGTCCAGGATAGGCAGAGTAGATAAGCGTATAAAATTCCAAGAACAATATATGGTATGCCATTTTCCATCATTTTCTTTGTCTGCATATTGAAAAAAAGAAAGCATATTAGATCAATATTTGACACAAGGCAAAGCTCAAGTTTTAGAGAATTATGCTACCGGAATCATTAACTAATCTAATATGATAGAAAATTCTAATATAAAAGAAAAGATAGTTCTTTTCTGTATGCTTTCCCTGGATATATATTGACGTGACAAAGTTCATCACTGCCAGCAAATGGATGGGTTAGAACATTAGTATCATATCGTGTCTCGCGTAGATATCAGAATGGACCAAACATTATCACACTACTATCAGTTGGTCATTTGAAGAAAATGAAGAAACTAGGTGAACTACAATTCCATTGCAGTTTACAAATGGAAAACAACAGAAAACTTCACTAAAGTTGTAGTCAAATAGTAACAATCGAAATAAGAACAGGAATACAGAATAAAAGTTAATGAATTGAGATCCAAAATAGTTGACTTACAAACTCAGCTCTTGGTGCTACAACCATGAACGTGTAAAATGGAAGAACAGCAGCTGTTCCCAATGTAAAAGCACCACTAGCAATCTGAGCACTTGGCAACCCTGCACGTCAGTATTCACACATAACTTTTCTTTTTGAAAAAAAAAACAGAGAGCATTACTATATTCTACTTCAAGATCCATGAAAAAATTTAAGCATGCAATTTTTCAGTTATCAAGCGACAAAGAGTAAGCACATTAAGATCCAAGAGAATGCATTGTACACATTTTCCTTCAAGAAAAAACATGCCCTCACACCTGACAAAATGGTGAAGAAAATGAGAACACAAAATGTCTTTAAAAAAATGAGGAACAATTTAGCCTGATGCATTAGGAAGAAAGAACTAACAAAAGGCAAATAATCAAATCCTCCATTAAAATTGTTGGGGTTCTTTGATTCTCAACAATAATGGAAAAGAATTGGAAATCTTGATTAATCTCTCCATTATTGTGGATCTTCATACATATAGATTTTCCTTGCACAAGCAAATGAACTTAATGTTTTGGAGTTCATTCCTACGGTTATTTTGAATCTTTTCTTTATGGTTTGATTCAAAAATAGCTCTCTTCTTGCTCTGTCATTTCCTTCAGACTTCAGCTCTGTTCTCATTCACAACATAATGAAAGCACCCAAAAGTAGAAATACAAAGTAGGGAACCATGCATTGACAAGCTTCAACCTTTCAGTTCCAGGGTGGAATGGAGTACTTGAAGAAAGTAGTTTAAAACCATATGAAGAAACATCTTTAAAGAGTGAATAACAATAAAAATTAATAATATGTTGTATTACCCAAGCTACATTAATGAGCTCTACTTTTTTCATTGAAGCTGATCCATTTGAAAATTTAATATTTATTTTCTTAATTGTTTTTTAATATTTACGGTTTCTTAGTTTCTAATACAGGATCATCAGAGCATAAAATTCTGAACAACAAAACCACATTTCCCCCAATGTTCTGTGCCCTCAGAAGAGAAGCACCTGATAATTTAAAAAGCTGAGATGCCGAGTCCCAAACATACCAGAAACACATGAATACTTAAAATTCTATTTAGAAAAGAAGGTAAAGCATGAAAGAGAACAAAGAAATGTGAATAATTACATGAAGCATATACCGCTGAACGTTTTTTACACAGAACATTTCCTCCAAGAGTTGGTCTACTGATGATTCTTGATCCTCCTAGAAAACTCCATCCAATGCCTTGCTTGATGCCCATTCCCACAACTTGTTGACCGAACATTTCCGTGTTGATGCTTTTAAGAGCAAAGGCACATTTTTGGCTAGTTTGGAAGTTACTCAAAGTTTTGGAGCCCAATCCGGAGCGGTCAATCTACAAGAGGTAGACCTAAAACTGTTTAGGGCATATTATGTATCGCAGAAGTTAAATCATAGGTTGAAACTAGAAGCTTAGCACAAAAATCAAGATTTATTAACTTTGTCTTTCCCAATTTTTGAGCATAGTAGAGATTAACAGTAATCGTGTAGCTAGTGGATAAAATTACCAGCCCATGTATAAAAGTTACTTTGATTATAATAACATCTACTCAAAGCAAACAAATCTCGGGCAAAATCATTTCAGAATGAAAAGTCCCTAGCAAAATTTAGACGGAAAGAGGTGAAGAAGTGTGGAAGTGAAGCTAGTTTAACAAAGTTGCATATATGAAGTGATTTAACGAAGAACATGTACCCCCTATTTGACTCTCTTTGAATTAAAACTCTTTATTTTTTATACTCATTTTCACCACAAATTTACATAATAAAATATTTTGCATGTAAACCAAAATTTTTTCCCATTTTGTAACCCCACATTCTTTAAAAAGAGAAAGGGGAAAAAATCACTATTCAAAACATCATTTTCCCCCAATTTCTCTTTATAGTGGCATCAACAAGGGGCACATCTGATTCCAGCATCAACTTTAATATGCTAAAAGTGAAAGCTTAAGTCCTGCATGAAATCAACAATTGAAAGTGGCTGCATTTGAAAATTGAAGTAAATTTTGTAATGCAAATGTTCCCCCCGTGTCAAAGTTCACACGAGTTTAAGATAATTTAATACTAGAATTAAAACCCACATTCAAGAATCGCAAAGGGTAAATACATTAGAAAAAGGAACTAATCAAGAATTCCCATATAAAGAAACTGATCCAGATACACATCAATTCAAATGGGCACGAATTCAAAAAACACATACACAATAATGTAAGTAAAAAAAAATCATACCTTGATTGAGAATTGAGAGTTGAGAAAGCAAGAAGACAAGGCCATATTTGAATAGAATTGCAAAGAAAAGACTCAAAACCTACTGCAGAAATTAACTCCAGAAATATCTGATTCATTCGGAGATGGAACGGATATATAAAGACCCACAATAATGGAGGTCTTAAAGAAGAAAAGTGAAAATTGGAGACGACACGTAAACGCTGCGTAAATAAAGGATATGAAATGAAATTCATGCCCACTGCATTTTGCGCACTAGTAAACGTACCTGAAAGTTTCCATTACCCAAATCCAGACAGATAACCTTATTGGATAAAAGAGTTGTCCCTCACTATTATCCATATTTGTTTGGGGATCTTTCATGCTATCAAGACAAGCCACGTGTAGATGAGTACGTGGCCATATGCAGGGACGGTGGTGGGATTCATTGGGTGAAAATGTGAAACCACAGCAAATTGAAAATATTTGGTTTGACCAATTCGTGGCATTTCTAAAAAAGTCCACGTTCCCGCTTCATGATTCTTCATTTCTTTAAATGTGCCACGTCCTATTTTCTTAAATTTTAAACAATTGAGCTGTGTTTGTGCAAATTTGTTGATAGATATTGAAGTGTCATGCATTTAACCCTTTTGAATAAATGAAATTTAAATCAAGAGTAAAAATACATGACACATCAATGTCCGTCAAATAATTTGTAAAGAAAACTGTACAAGTAACATTATTAAACCTTCGTTTGGCTACCATTTTTTCCAAATTTTAATTTTTGGAATAGTATTTTTTTTAATAACGTATGGTTGAAAAAGAATGAAAAATTTTCGATTTACGTATAATATATTAATATTATTTTATGGAAGATTGTGCAGTGAAAAATAAGTGACAGAAAAAATGAAAAAAATAGGTGGCTCCCATTACATTACATTCCATTTTTTTCTATCTTATTTTTAACAACACAATCTTCTTCAAAATAATATTACACATAAATCGAAAAAAAACATTCTTCTTTTTTAATCACTCATTTAAAAAAAAAAAAAATACTATTCCACCCATTTTTATATCTAGAAAACGGGGGCTAAATTTTAAATTAATTCAAATCATAGCCAAAATGTATATCATCACAGTGTCTGTTAAACAATTTGTAAAGAAAACTATGCAAGTAGCCTGATTAAATTTTAAATTCCTCTGTAAAGTTGGTATGGACCTTTCAAAACACATTTCAATAAGTTATTGGTGATAATATCTGAAGTTGAATAAGCACTTGTTATAATGTTGTTCCAGTTATGAACACCCCATCCATCGTGTGCGCAAAAGGACCTATTATATTGTCTAGTATCTCCCAACTAGGAATACTTTTTCCTTCAATAATTCGTTTGTTTGTGCTGCGGAAAGCAAATTGTGCTGTTTACCTCCTTATCGATTATGTTAAAAGTTCAATCCAAGAAACATTAGGGTATCGCTATTTACATTCACAATTTTTATATATACATTCATTTTTAAAAAGATAATTATATTATGTCACTATTTGTTTCCAATTGTTTGAATAAAATAATGCATTTTTGACCCTTTTTTGCAGGGCCGACCCTGAGGCCAAGCCACCTAGGCAACTGCCACTGTAATATATGTGTGCGTGGGATGAGAGAAGAAATGAAGAGTGTGTGAGTGTGAAGAGAAATGTGGTGTGAGACTGTTAGCCTCTGAATTGAAAGTGTGAAACTGTGAAAAGAGAGAAGGAAAAAGAGTGAGTTGATGGGAGATACCG